GTGTGGCGTGTTCAGAGACCAGGGCACGCTCCGTGTGTAGCTGGTATGACTTTAATAAACGGAAGAGCTTCACTCGCTCAGCAATGTGCAGATGACCTGCATCTTACTCGATGTTGTGTAGAAACACGTGTAGGAAATTTTGTGACTGAAGTGTGTGCATTCCTTTTTCTTTTCTTTTTAATGCCCTGGAAGTGCTGAGAATGTGCGCATTATTGATCACAAAATATGTGTCTGTTTTAGAGATTTACCTTTGATGTAGTGAATTTGGATGCATTCGGGCTAAATAAAGGGTACTCTGAATGTGCTTCGGTGCCTGTATTGAATGCTGTCTCCGGTAGCTCTTTTCTGCCTTCTCGGTTATACCCGCGTGTCCCCCAGGGCGTCGGTGCCCCACCTCCTGAGCGCTTTGCGAAAGCTTCAGAAAGACATGATGAAGTGAAAATTGATCATTGGTCTTACCAAGATTTCTCACAAATTGGAAGTGTTAATATTATTTGTTAGTAATTGTAGTTAATTTTTAGCATTATTTGTTGCCTATCTTTATCACTTAAAAGATGTACACAGTTTTCACCACAGTTATCTGTATTTTAATGTTAATATTATGGTAAAAGAGCATCTTCTAGCGTTTTTCACTTAGTTTCTTAAAAAAATAAAGTTCCAATGGCGTAGCTCACAGAGTTTCACGAAAAGAGGTAACTTACTCGGTTTGGTAAAACTGCTCCTTCCTCAGAGGGTGTGAGCGACGGCTCCCCCAGCGTGACGTGGGTCACACTGACCCACGGTGGGTGACCCGTCCTGAGACCCGCTGTTGCCCTCAGACAGTCCTGGTGGCAGGCGGGCTCAAGCCCTGTCGGGACCTGGCGGCACCACCCTGCGTGTGCCGGCCGTGACGCCTGCGATCTTGCCGGCCACGCGCTCAGCTTTCCCGTCTGCCTCGAAGGCAGGAAGTAGGGAGGCTCTTCTCCTCTCCAGGCCTTGCTGCGCGCCCCTGTCATCGACACGTCTGGATGAGGACAACGTGCAGCCCAGTCCCCCGAGGCTGGCGCAGGGT